CCTCTGCCCCCGTCGGGGATCGAACCCCGGCCGTCCAGCCCGTAGCTAGTCACTATACTGACTGAGCTATCCCGCAATTAACTCTGATATTATTTACTATTAATTTATTGGAATGTATATTTTAATGGTAACTTACTAAGTGATGGTTGATTCTCCATTGGTAGACACAAGTGTAGGAGCATGACCATAACCGAAGCCCTTAGGCCCAAATTTCTTCCCATAGCATGCCTTGCAGTATACTTCACGGTCTGGGCCATCACATGCTAGCACTGAATCCAGTGGTCTATGACAGTCTGCGCAGTTGAAACATTTCTTGTGCCACATCTGGTTAAAATAAAACAAATTATACCTTTAGAAACGAATTTAATTTTAACTCCTTAAATATAATTGAATTATTTTTGCATCACATTACTCTAAAAACTTTTACTGTCAACTAATTTACATATATTACATTTGATATATGAGTGTTATTACTTCTTATAGTTCCAAGACAATACATTTTAACACATCTCAGTTTATTTATTAGTTATTTACATTTTATAAGCTTACAATTAAAGCTATAGCTTACATACCGTTCCTTTAGCCAGCTGCTGTTCAGCGGCAAATACGGCACCACCGCATCGAGGACAACCCTGACCAGCTGGAGCTTTGATTGATGTCGTATCAGGGTTGTAAAAGGGCCGAAAACTTGAGATCTCTTCCTCCCTATACACACAGAGACATAAAACACAAATTAACCTATATCATCCCTGAGTCACATTTTATGCACAGTACAGCTTTACATGTGTCGCACCATCATCCTGCAAAAACCATTAACCACGGACCTAAGGTGCAGCTGGCAGCCCTGTATTACATGTGTTTAAATCACATTTTCCCATATGATACAGGTTAAAACTATTGCAATTATTTTGCCAGAAAAAATATTCAATGCCAGAGGAATAGTATATTGTTTACACTCTCTCGGATACTTCCATAGGTTCGGATACAGCTTTTACAGAAGTCACACTCTACTTTTATAAAATTCTAACTCCATACAGCAGTCTATCCTGAGAAGTTAACAGTCATTGAGGAAGTCAAGAAATGTCCTACTTTTTATAGAACCTGAAGACTCATTACTGTGTTTACAAGAGCCTGTCACTAGACCCTACCTGAATCAGATAAATCTGGTTTACATTCTTGCATCATATATGAGATTCAATTTCATATTAACCTTGTCTTTATGCTTAGCTCTCCCATGTGGTATCTTCCATTTAGGTTTTCTAAATAAAATCTATTTCTAATCTCTCCCATGCATGCTATATACCCCACCCACCTCATCCTCTTTTGATTTAATCACCTTAGTAACACCTGGCAAAGAGTACAAATTATAAAGTTCCTCATCATATAGTTTTCTCCAGCATTCGGTTATTTCCACCATGTATTGTTTGCTTACAATTATATTTGAGCTTTGTCAGCACATAGCTGGAATGGAAATATTTGGTTACACAAGAAGAATGTGTTATAACTACATATTAGATCTTCCACATTGGAACTCACTAGAGTAGACCTAATCCAAACTTACGAAAGTCCATCAGTCTGCAGGAATCCTGAACCACATGCAAAACCATAACCGTGTGGGCCAAATTTCTTTCCATAGCAAGTCTTGCAGTAGACATCACGGTCAGGTCCATCACATGCTAGAATCGAATCCAAGGTCTTGGTGCAATCGTGACATTTGAAACATTTACGATGCCATTCCTGCAATTAGAACATCACTTTACAAATTATATGTTTATTTATTGGTTCACACCATGATTCTCTGTCAACTTCAGATTTTGTTAGACTCACTCAGGGACAAATGGTAATTGATTATAAATGATGATCAGTGAGGATAATAAATAAAAATAAAAATAAACGTACAATACAACAAAGTCTGAAGTACCTAACCTAAAAAACAAAAAAGAAATAATTAAGAAAACATTAAATACTTATGTATAAAAATAAAATTTAAAAAATAATTATATATTGAACTAAGTAAACTATATTTTTACTTTGTATTCTGCATGTGAAATGTAGCATTTCAGTCTCAAGGAAGAACACAGAGTGAAGGTATATGAAAATAAACTATTGAACACAAGAAAATAGAAAATTCCACAATGTGCAGCTTCATAATTAATGTCAAGTTTGACAATGGTTAAGGAGCCTATTTCTGAGGTCAGGGCACATTTTCACTGAATTTCAATACCTGTACAGTAGGATGGGTATAAGGACATATTATTGGGAACTTAAAGATTTAATGTATGATCTGATTCAAGATGGAGATACATTTTCCCCCCACATTCATGAATCTATACCTTTGTCAAAGCTTTTCCATAACCCCAACAGTCTGGCACAGATTACTAGGTCACATCAATCAGTTTTGTAAGTTGATTAAATCAATAAAGGTTCAGATGGTGTGACATGTAGGAAGGTTTTGAAAGACAAGAAGAATCTAGAAAATTTTGGTGGAGTAAAAATCTTGTAGAAAGATACCATTCAGGAGTCTGAAATATAGATTGGAGGTTATGTATTTGAAGGCAATGGATTATTATGATTTTAATTAAATAAACTTAGGGCAGAGTCCAGTATAAAGCTTTTATGTTCATGGTGATTACTGGATTTTATGCCCTTACATCAAAGATGCAGGTTTTCTGTACATATACAGTACACACCATGAGTACATGTAGCAGAACCATGGCCCTACATGAATTTAATAAATGAGGGGGTAAAACAATTAATTTAGTTTCTGCAATCTGTACTTACTCTGCCCTTAGCAAGCACTTGTTCAGCAGCATAAACAACACCACCACATCGTGGACATCCCTGGCCAGCAGGGGCCTTGATAACAGCTGTATCAATCACCGTTGTCCTGGGCGCTTCACTAAGAAAACAATGGTACACTTTATCACAGATTGTTGGGTTTTACAAACTGAAAATTGTATTAGTAACATACTCTTGCCATTATGAGCCCAATTAAAATGTTATTAGAATTTTGGATAATAATAAATATATAAACATGTACACAAATACATTATTTTCATAGAATGAGATAAATCAAAACTCTATGAAGCCTAATTAAATAAATGGCTGAGCAGAATCTGACTTATTGTTAAACTGACTGGTACTGATCCTTACTAAGGAGTGGAGCTCTGGCACGTTGGTTAGTCTGATTCCTACTAGCATTTTGAACTGGAATATACTGAACTGACCAACCTTTCTATTATGTTACCAGCTTTGCCCACAACCATTGATCAAGGAAAGAGCGCAACTCCTCAGAAAGATACAGCATACAATTATCAAGCTGTACAACATTAAACTTCACATAATGCATATAACCTCAAATTTCGTAACGAGTAAACGTAATATAACCTCAAAATTTTACACCAACTGCAATGTTGGTTCTTTCAAGAAGGGGGGAAAAACAATAAAAATAAATTATTTAATATAAAATTGATCAGACTGAAATTTAAATGTGTTTCACATTACTTCTACTACTATGATTTTATTTCCCATTCTACACAAGAACGTAATAAACTCTTTTGAGGCAGACAGCCACACCAGTGCCTTGAAGATGACAGCATATTTCTTGAAACATTGGCATTTTTGTCACTAACTCTACAGACACAGCAGACTACCCGAAAGTCATCATATTGTCATGAGATAATTCTGTCTGAACATAATGGTAACATGCATTTGAAATTATGTTCCTTTCATAAATCAGTCCAAGAAAGACATTTCTGTAGTCTAAAAAATTTACTTAAAAACAACATACTAAAGGATTTTGTCATCACAAAGAATAATTTCACAAAAACACAGTGCTGATTATGGTTCTGAAAACTCAAAATCCACTAGCAGTTTCATCTGTTTTTAATGAACAAAAAACAAATACAGGAAATGACAAACTTAATTTTAAAAAGAGCTTGTTCATTTCCATTACAGGGAAATACATTCAGGATTAGACATGCTAAACAACTCTTTGAAAAAGAGTGACAGCTGACAATACACTATGGGGCTTGGATTTCTCTAATTCTTGAACTGTAATGATCAGAAATACAAAAAGGTGAAACAAGAGGCATCAATACAGTTAGGGACAGGGTTTTCAAAACTCAAAACATTCCAACAAAAATACCCAAAATATGCCTGGAAGGTTTGGTCAGAAATAGTTACTGCTAGAAATTTTCATTAATATTATTATTACATATATGAGAACTTCAGTGTGTTAGAAAGGAACAAAGTATGATTCAGAAATAAAATCAAAATCAGAATATCCTTTTATACATATACTTTAAATATGACTATCTCTGACTGTCACCTATAAATTTATACCAAAAAAGGTAGGTCTACGAATACTAATACATGAAACAAGTTCAAAAAGACAGTGCAAAAATTATCTATCAATACATTTGATAGGTAACAACAGGCGTCCTACATGCGTCAACACTTTCCATATCAAGACCCAACCAATTAGGGGTTGGCTACCTCTCATCCAATACATCTGATGTGAGCCCTATTATTGACCCTCCTCCACGCCCAATTCCACGTGGCCCATATCGTTTAGCGTAGCAAACTGTGTGAGGAGTAGAAAAGAAGTCAGTTTTAATAGATTCTGATTTACAGACCTGGACCATTAACAAGCAGTTACTACTTAAGCCCCTTCATTGTTTACCTGATGTATTACTACTATGAAGCGCACAACTTTATGCAGTGGAATCTTCAGATAAACATTGAAGGAGTTAAGCCAGGCAACAAGTGCTTTTATATAATTGGTAAATGCTTGATAAGGGCCAGGGGGCTGGCTCAGGATTATGCTATGCTACGTACCCATTGGCATAACCAACATCGCTCTGCAAAGCACCACCACCTTGACCATATCCATAGCCCTTAGGACCGAACCTTTTGCCATAGCAAACTGCAGGAATAAAGGTTATGTTTACCCAACACAATAGGACATTCAAATACTTATTGCTAATACAGTGCAACACTAATTTATAAAAAAGTCTTATGGTAACATTATATGTAATGTATTATTTCAGTTTGTAAAGGAAAAAATCAAAAGTTTTGGCAAATATGTGAGATTTAAATGTAGTTCTAAAGATTATTTAAAACAAGAGCCCTATGTGCTCTTTATTCTTCAGAATCAGTTCACCATAATTTATTACTTCACCAAAGTCTTGTCCTATTAGCTTTAAACTGTGGATGTGAAATAAGAATATAACTGGTCCCTATTACAATACCAACTTCAAAGTGTCTTGCAAATAAGGTACAGTTTAGTTAGTAACAATATTTGTAACATGGTTACAAAACAGAATATATGAAAAAACTATTTAATATTTTTATACTGAATCAAACATTTAATTATTATTTTTGTAACTGCTTCTGTAACAAGATTCTAATAAAGGACTCGTCATGTAGATGTGGTTTCATTTAATGTCAGACATTTCAATTAGTTGACATAAATTACATAAAGCTCCAATATAACATTTAGAGCAGCAGTGTAAGGGTTTTATCCTAACAGAATACAGTGAAGAGCACATAAGCTTTTGCTTTTGATGTATCAGTACTGCTTCATCCACTGCCAAGTTATTTTAATTTATTCAATTCAACATTTTACACTCTTCTCCATATGAAAATCTCAAATTGATTTTAATCAAGTATTATATTAATTTTTGTGGTAACAATTTAATTCTTCTAACCGACTGAATGTCCTCAAATAAATCTTATGTCATGATTTTCAGCCAATCCAACATAAAGGTCTGCATTCGCAACAGAACCATTCACAAATAAGAAGTTCTGGGAAGAACTTATAACATCTACATTAATTTAGATTTTTCAATCACTATCATGAAACTCTTACATATTAGTAATGAATAATTATACAATTAATAATCTGTTTATTTACATGCTCTTCACCGATCCCCATTTTGACTATGTCAATACCATAATCCTATTTTTCCTTATAGAATAAAGTGGGCTAAGAGATAGTGATTCCATTGAAATGAATCACATAGTCATGACATTATTGATCATTGGACATTATTCTTCAGTGCCTGAGCATCTGCGGGTCCTAACTTTTCATTGGCTCTGATCTATAGACAGTTGGTAGGACTCCTCAGACGAGGGATTGGCCCGTTGCAAGGCCTCTACCTGTACACAGGACAGCACAACACAGAAAGACGCGGACAAACATCCATGCCTTGAGTGGGATTTGAACCCAAGGTCCCAGTGACCAAGCTGCACAAAGCCCACATCTCAGACCACGCGGCCACTGTGACAGCTAAGCCTCTGTATATCCTTTATATATTTTTTATTCATATTATTTACTTGAACTTTTTAAAAGGTAAACAATGCTACAATATCTTGTATAAATAATAAATATTTAGTGTGAAACTAATTACTAAAATATACATATATTTTCACTTTCCTAAGTATACAAAATATTCAAAAACACTCACCACAAAACTGGACATGGAATCTGAAGTAACACAAGGCACAATGTGAACAACATTCTAGGAGTGCTTAGCAGAAGTATGTTAGTATTTTTGGCAGAATTTATTATTACAGTAACCATGCCTGATAAAAATTATATGAGCATTAATAAAACTATAAGCTGAGTCATGAAGCATGTATTTTTGAAAGAACATTTTTTTTTATTATTATTATGTGAAACGTTCTATTCTTACACACCTTTGCAGTAAATATCCTTGTCAGGTCCTTCACAACAATTGACCGAGTCTAGTCGTTTCGAGCATTCGCCACATTTGAAGCATCCCCTATGCCATGACTTGAACATAACAATAACACGGAAAAGTGAAATTTAGTTCAAGAAGGATATTTGTTCATTATTGAGATACGAACTGAGATACAAGATGGTAAAAATTTGCAGATTACTGTCACACCTGTAGGAAAAAAATTTAGCATCACTCTTTCTTATAGATGCATAATGATTAGAAGGGCCATTTGGAATCTGATACTTATCCTGACAATATGAACAGTTTTTTTAAACTGTTCAAGGTTTATAATAATGGTGGAATGACTCATGTGTTAGGTTATGTTTAACGTCGTGTACTCTTTGTGGGCATTCAATATTCATAGTGAATAATAAGCTGACTGTGTTTATTCCTAACTTAAGGTGAAGGATCAGTCATTTTTTGGTATCCAGTTGGAAAAACATGTAGTAAGAATATTTTGATTACCTGTGCCATTACTATATAATACCTGCAAATTTCAATGATATTGCAAGTTTCTTCCAATGTTCTGTGAAGAAGAATAATATTATTAGACTGAACGTGTAATTAAAAACTGGTCACCAAATTTTGGGAACTGCATGAAAAAGAAAAATATTTAACATCACTGGTTGTATTTCATCTCATAAACACCCCAAAATATTTTGGGGTGACTGAAAAAAATGTTCAAGCTGCCAAAAATGTACATATTTAGTATGTTTGACTCAGAAAAAAGGAAATGAGAAGTTCAGGATGGACACTATATTTCAGCATTGTGTCATGTAACAGCTGATACATTTTAAACAAATCTGAAAACCAAAAACAGATAGCAGAAGGGTATAGTCACACTGCTTGTAAAACTTTTGAAAACAACAGAGAGAATTAGGTAGAAGGATACGAAAAGAGATGCATAAGAAAGAAAGGAAATGCAATTGGTACACACTGCCATTTCAAATCGTGCTGTAAAAAAAGGGTTACATTGGATAAGAAAATTTCTATCCAGTTCAGGCGCAACTTCATAAATTTTTAACAAGTTTAACTTATTTTCAGATTTTGACAGATAGCAAAGGGAAATATGTTATCAAAGTATATTGGTATAGACATGAAGGTTAGTCCTGTTCACCTTACCGGTTGTGATCACATGGTTTGGTAAAGGAATCTGGCTGCAACGTGGGAGCACTTGTGAAATATATTATGCTTCTCTATCTATGGGAATCATGGATTGTAGTGGAGGCCTACAGCTAACGGTAGAAGCAAGATATTTTTCACATCACAGAGATGAAGATTTGAATCTATCTTCACGAAAATAAAAACTAAGGTCCTTACAAAGACTTGACTTGGGGAACATTTGAATGGCATTTTAACCCAAAACTCCCAAGATCAGGTCTTATTCTCATATTGTATCATATTTTAGTGTAATGATTCTTGAAATATTTGTGACTTTTGGCGAGTCGTTAAACCACAATTATGTTTGATATTTTCCATTGTCTGAAGTATATTTTATATGCAGAACATTTTGGAACCTGACTCTGTCTCATTTTAGCATAGTATTCAATCCAAATCATTGCCAATATTCTCAAGAAAAAGAACAATGAAAAGTACAGGTATGATTTCAGGTTCTTCAGACAATGAGCTCTTCTGGTTTATAACACCACATAATTTGGCAGAAATTTACTAATGCTTCAGAGGTTGTTGCTGTTTTTATCTTCAGGGTAGATGGAGGCAGCAATACCTCTGAAACGTTGGTAAGCTTCTACCAGACTACATGGCGCTACAACCCAGAATAAAGCCATCTTAATGATAAGTATATGTCAGTATTAGGGTAACTAATCACCAGAAGGTGATACTAGTGAGAAGTTCCAGTATGTTATGTATCAAATATACATCGATGGACAACAGTCAACATCAATGTGGTTCAACGCTTTGTATAGCTTCATGTTATATAAGCTTCACTTGAACTGGATGATAGCTAGACAGATGGATGAAGACACAGGCACAGATTCTGGCCAACCCACTGTACACATTTATAGTGTGAGCCCTTCATGACTAAATGACCATACCTTTACAGTATATCTCTTTATCTGGGCCATCACAATGTGTCGTGGAGTCCAACGTGCGATTGCAATTATTACATCGGAAGCAGCCCTTGTGCCAGCCCTATGGTACGGACATTTCACATCTATATTGCACATAAGTGTGACAGTATCATAATCTCAAAAAAACAAAAAAATGTATGAGACTATGTAAAACTGTTAACATTGCCAGCAACGAACATATTAAATACAGTAAAGAAATATTAATGACACAGTTGTTAAATTTTCAAGAAAATAACTGTTATGAGAAAAATTTAATAAAATTCCAAACATAATTGTGCATAACAGATTCATATTATGATATAAAATGTATAGAAAATAAATAGTTTCTTTGAGGGTTGGGAAGCTTAAATCTATTTCTAATATTCATATTCCAGAACTGGAACTTTTAATTATAAAGACAAAGCACGAGTCGAATACAGTTGTTGTCACAAAGTTACCATACAATTTAAAAATATTAAATTACTACACATACCGCAGAGTGCCAACTTTTCAAATGCTTGCAGTACAACTAAAACAAAAGTTTTAAAAATGATTTGCATAGTAATTATATAAAACAAGTTATTACATAATTATTTCTAATCCTGTATAACTATAAGGATGAGTTGCATCACGGCTCATTACCAAAAGCTGCAGTTGTACACTGAACTGCAGCTGTAAAAATCTAGGGACTAGTATTTTTAATACTGAATGATAGCACTGTTATGTCAGTAAATTAGTGACAAGGTCAAAATCATAGATCTTTTGACTTTCATTAATATGTAAACTAAAATCATCTAGCATGCCATTTATTGCCAGAAACTGGAATCAGAAGGATTGGTACACTTGAAGATAATGGCAAACTGGAAAGAGTTTGGCTATATTTAAATAAATATAAGGTAAGATATGTGATAAAATATGAGGAGAGAAAAGGGGAAGCAAAGATGTGAGATGGCATTACAGTTTAAAATAAAATTAAAGAATGTAAAATGATAAAACGAATATAAAGATATTTTAAGACCAAGGAGTTATGCCCAACATTGTAAACTGTAACCAACAGACTAATAAATTTTAATGTCACATTACTTTTAACCAAGAAGTCAATGGAAGAATAAATTTCAATCTTCTGAACTCGGATTGGGCTTGATAGTACCCAAACCATGTCAAGGAAGAAGAAGAAGAAGAAGAAAGTCACTTCTCATACTTGTGCAAATTACTTTTCATTACTTACATAAAGCATGTTTTCAGAACACTAGAAATATATACTTTGAACAGAAGTCAACAATTTTTAAATTCCTTATTATTCTCATAAGTCAATGTTAAAAACTCCATTAAATAATTATAGACAGCAACGGTGAAGACACTTACTCGGGCTCGTGCCAACATTTGTTCAGCAGCATACACAAAGCCGCCACAGCGAGGGCAACCCTCACCTTCGGGGGCCTGAGCGATGGCCTTCGGCTCCTGCACAGCATGGTTCACGATACTAAAATGAAACATATTTTATTTTATTACGTGTATGCTCTATCCATGTCCAAATCATTTAATTTTATATGCAAATCTGCACTAATTCATTCTTGAATTATAAATGCTTTCATATAAGTAGTTACATGTTAAGCAAAGCCAAAAATATCTCATGTAGAGAAAAAAAATAATCACATTTAAGCTGTAATATTGAAATATTATAATAATAATGTCAAGAAGCAGAATGTAATTTACTGACATTAAACTTTGTAGTCTCTTCATCAAAAACTTTTATTTTATTTATTTACTTGTATTTTCTTTGCTGACATTTTAAAAATTTAAAGTTAGCAAGCACTCTAGGGGTTAATTTCTTTTGAATATAATTCATATACATTAGAGAAATATAAGCAAAAGTAGCATGAAAGCCTCTTAGTAAGTAGAAGCATGAAAATAGGTTTAGCTTAATGTTATATGCATCACTGCAGTTCATTTGTCTCAGGTATTAATGTTATTAGTTACACTACTGTATCTGAAAAAAGCCAGCTATATAAAAATGACTAATGAATAAAAATAAATCATTGTATTAATAACTATTAGTTATATGATGAAGTCTCAACCTGAAATGAAAGAGACATGTACAGGAACCCAGAACAGAGTGTATATACTGTAATTCTGTCAAGAGGAACATATAAAGTACTTATTTATTCATTACAATAGCTAAATTTCATTCATTTCTATAGAATTAAACTTGAAATCAATTTTTAATTTGCTACTAATTTAGACATTTATTATATTATTATAAAAAGGAAATATACCCATGACCTAACATGGAAACTAAGCTTCTATGCATTTAGACAGACCTGTTTTGGGTCCCTGGATTAAAGACCAATGAAGGTAAGCAATGGGAAAAGGTTGAACTTGCAGTAATATCTCTGGCATCCACAAATACACAGGGCTGCAGGATTAAACATAAATTATTGTCCAGATTCATGGAGGGTGTTTTTTGTATACTTAATTTTAAACAACTATTCGATCCCCTTCTAACATTTTATTTTCACGTCAGAACAGGTTGCTAACTGATGAGGGCACTTTCCTTATCCCATTACTTGTACCAGCATGGGCCAGGGTCAGAAATACCAATTAAAACAGTTAATAAAAGCAGGCTTTTGACATGTCACAGTATCAGCGCATTTGTGTATATGGTGTGCAACACTTAATGGATTAATCTAAGTATCAGGTACCCATAATTTTACATATTAATGTCGAAGTATATTAAAAAAGATTAAAATATTGCTGGCTTTAACATATCCTAATTATTTTTATTTTAATTATAGAAAAACTAAAGATTCATTGTCATCAACTTTCTCTTTTTGAACTTAAACTGATGTCCCACTTTTTGTGTGACTGGAGAAATACATCTTTCTGTTCTTGCTGTCTCATAGCTGAGAGCTTTGTTTTATCAGTACATAGCAGTAAATTGTGCTCATACTTTTGTATAAAATAGAAAAGTTAAAAATAAGGCAACAAAAGATAAACTTTTTATATTAAATTAAATTCCTTTGATGTGTGCAATGCAGTGTGACATTTTGATATTTTAAATTTATGTCTTTTTGTCAAAAGCGTGAAATTATTGCCCACATTCCTTTATGTTTTCCCATTGTCACATCAAGACATGTGACAACACTATAAATTAAAAGATATTCCCACGTTACTCTCATGTTACAATATGTTCCAATTATCAGGCAGCATATTACTATACGTATTCATCAAATTACTTTCCAATTTTTGTTATAAAAATGTTTTTTCTTTGTGAATTCTCTGCTAAATTCTTAAATCTGATAACAAAAAACATTCCATTCAAGAAACAAAAAAAAAAATAGTCTCATACCAGATGGTATTATTATCAAATGTAACAAGTCCTGTCTTCTGTTACATGTGACTCAATTTAATGTCATATTATAAACTTACTTAATATTCGATTTACAGTAAAATACAAAGCACAAATTAATATTCACATATAAAAATTATGAGAATATAAGATACAACATGACTCATCTTCTTAATACTAACATTACACGGATGTCATACAAATTATCCGAACTCTAACAACATGCCTGTGAAATAGTTGTCCTAAATTATGGTCTTGAAGTTATGTTTAATATAAAGTATTTTGTGGTGGTATGTAACAAATTTCCATGAATATTTTATGAAAGACTATTTTCAAACACTTTGCATAACCATGTCATAGTCTCAATATAACAGAATTCAAATAACATATTATCTATAATAATACCAAATTGATTCTTATTTTGGAGCACCAACAGATATACTGGACTGACTGACTGACTGACTAAATTTTAACTTATTTCATTATTTAGCAATCATGACAAAAACGTGACTGCGAAAAATATGAATGTAGACATAAAACTACATTTGTTATCGAAATACTGGACCAGTTTTTGCCATTCCGCTCTACCAATACCCAAATCCACATGGTCTCAAAAAGATATTTTTACTGTGGTTACATTATACTTGCCAGATTACCATGAAAGTATGTCACCACAAACACAAAATCCCACTGTTTGACACTGTCCAGAGCCAGTTTATCCCAATTTACATTAGCTACTTCTATAAAATCAATTTTAATACTGTCATCCCATCTTAATCTTGTTCCTATATTGCAAGA